GGAAACTAGGATACCTTTATCAAGCATCTATCTGATAACACAATTACACAAAATGTGGAGAAGGAAATGAATTGCATTGAAAACTAAATTACCTAAGCGAACATCTGTTCTCCAAAAAATGGATATCTTCATTAGCACCACAAATCACAGAATTGAAGCAAAACCCTGAAACATAATTCATGGTGAAAGAGTTGATAAGAACTTATTAACGCAGTAGTTCTTCCTATTGAACAATTTTATCCTTAAATACTACCAACTTTTCGTAGGTTCTCTAACCACACCAGCGCCACTCTTAATTGCATGGCCTCCAAATCAAAAATGTAAGAAGGATATACTGATCATTGGAAAAAGGAAAGTAAATACAAAGGAAAGAAACAAAAAACACAGAAACAGCAAGAAAAAATATAAAAAAATGAAAACAAGAGTAAATCATATTGATTATAAAACTAGCCCAAAAGGTAAAGGATAGTAAAAATACAGCCCAGAAAGAGAAAAAATAAGAAGCACGCACCTCAGCCACCTCGAGGCTAACGCCACAAGGCATGAGCTCAGTAAGTCAAGACATAAACCTTGACTACTCAAACAATAAGCTTGGAGCTCATATGAGGTGTAAGCCTCGGGGGATTTTCAAAACATGAACCATCAAATATATGCCAAAATACGGAACATAAGAATTTATCTAGAATAAAGAATGGGAACAACTAATAAACAAAAATCAATTGCCCAACTTGTTTAACTGAGATGTAAATGAACTCATTTACCTTGCAAGTGTCTGAATGAAGTAGATAGTGCTCTGGTTGTATTTTCCGAGCTACACTTTGATGTTGATAACAGTGAATCACTAGACCCTACTGTCAATGCTTGCATAAGGCTAGCACGGATGCCCTGCAGGAAGATCCAGTAAAAAATTGTTTCCTACAATATATATTGGCACCTGGGAACTAAATGGAGATCAAAACAAATACATAATCATCTTCAGAAGATCAGGATAGAAATATAACGGAAGATAATCTTGGGTGTCAACATATACAATCACTAAGGCTGATGATCTGAACACTTCAAATGACCTGCACGACGGACGATGCATATCAATCTAACGCATTATACTCCAAAATAGAATATCACCCAGGCAAGACATAATCTATGTCGTGGTCATTTCTCGTAAAGTGAAGATAAGCAGCTTGAAAATCATAAAATAGTTATTTTAATAAATTATTCAACATATTCTACTAAAAAAAATGAGCTAGAGATCAAAATAACCCAGAGGATACAAGTGCATGTTGTCAATAAAGTTCAGGGTAGATGCCATCCCAAAAGAACAAACTATTGTGTGTGGCAATTTGCGGTGTACCACAGCAGTCATTGGTGCAACTAAAAAAACTCCTATTTTTGTATTTTACCAAATGAGAGAGAGGGAGAGAACAAAAAATAAATAAAGAGAAAAAAGAAAAGAAGGAAAAGGAAACAATAAGCAGTAACAGTATGTTAACTCTAGGGGCAAAAGGAAGTGATAACATTGCACACCTTTTTTCCTACTGCTTTCCATGCCATTCATAAGGATGTCAATCTCTACACCTTCAGTTTTAGAAATTATATAAAAATATCAGATCAATGTAACTTAGCCCTTGTTTGATCCCCATTATTTCCAAAATACATATTTCTCTTCCACCTTTTCAACCACATTTTTCAACAAAATAATATTACACGCAAACCCAAAATTTTTTCTTATTTTTTTAACCACACGCACTCCATCAATCTACTATTTCAATATGCATTCTTAACAAAAAATGGGGCTCAAACAGGCGCTTAATTACACCATAGAAGTAGTGATTGGAAAAAAGATTGCAATAACCTTTTAAACACCAACTGTAAGAGAATTCTAGAATTTGATTCTGTATAGCTCAATAATTACTACTCCCATGACATGAAAGATAGAAAGGATAGCATGATGCCTAGTAATGTAATAAAAACCAAAAATTAAACCTTACACTAGAAAATAGACAAATGTACATTAAAATAACCCAACCTTTTGAGCCAATGTCAAAAGAAGTACAACACATATAAATTCATAATTCTCCAAAACCCATGTAAGTAATGCAATACACATGAATGTATTTATTTAATGTCAGTAACTAGGCTAGCCTTTATTAAGATTTGGATTTCCATCTTAAGAGAAGTAACCCAATCCATTATGGGTTGGTTATTGTTCCGATGTGGGGTTATACCCATAATGGACTTAAGGCACGATAAACGCAATTATTCCTATGAAAAGTTCCCATTTCCTGTGAAGTATTGCAGCATAAATTCTAACTTTTCAGTTTTATTGCTTAAAAAATTGTAAGAGTTTTCATTTTGAAAAAACAGACTATGTTTTAGAATGTCAAAGACAGCAATCTGAAAGATAAACTTTTGGGTAGGGGTGTCCAAAAGTTCCGAACCGAATCGAATCGAGCGGTTCTTCATAAATTAAATACCCGAACGGGGTACCTGAATCGAGAACCGATGGTTTTGGGTCGGGTCTCGGGTCTAGACCAAGAACCGAAGAACCGAACAAGAACGAAACTAAATAATTNTTTTTGGTATTTGTATGCACTGAATTAATTTTAATGGATGGCTAGTTATTTATATGTTTTTTAATTGGACTACGTTAATTTGGAAAAGTTACGAATGAAATGTCGTTAGTTGTATTTATATAATCTTGTTGAAAATATTAAAAAATTTAATTATGGTACGGAACCGAACCGATCCGAACCGAACAAACGGAACTGAACCCGAACGGTTCCATAATTATATTTGGACCCGACGGTCCATTTATTAAATAACCGAAAGTTTTGGGTCAGTTCGGATCTCTTCAGAACTGAATCGAATCGACCCACGAACAGCCCTACTTTTGGGGGAAGATAGAGAGAACCCATTTGAAGAAAAAAGGGAGCAAAGCTTTACAGGACAATATAAACACAAAGCCAATAAAGTTCGCATTTTCCCATGAAATTCTGCAAACTAAGACCTCAATACTCCACTAATCAACAATTGAAAGATGTCAAAAAGAACAATGACCGTGTCTTGAAATCGTGGCAATACAAAATTTAACACGAAAAATATACTCTTCCGAGAAGAGAAAAATAAACAAAAAGACTTACAGAAAAGAGTCTGAGTTGTATCCAAAAAGGTTTCTCAGTGAGGAAGGTGAGCCCTCAAGGCTCAAGGGGCCAATGACATTGTTGAGAACAGTGGGAATTTATGTGCACGTCGCGAAGTAGTAGGATTGGACCTAATTGCAAAGAGTAGTGATAAAATAGGGACGAAACTGTAAAACTAAATATCACAAAGCATTGTGGGCAGCAAAATAATATAAAAACAATATTAATAAGAGCATATATTAACAAATAAAATGAATCATATACCATGAATTCAAAAGTAGATATTAATAAGGGAAATCTCTCAACACAATTTTTCGAATGATGAAAAGTCGATTAATAATCAAGAAAAGTACATAATTTCATTATTGGTCATTGAAATTCAAAGAAAAATATTTCAAATTAATCATTTAAGTATTTATATGATTCATTTAGTCACTGTAAGAAAATAATATTATGTAATGACTCGCTCTATTAGCCTGATTAACTTCATATTTGGTATAGCTGCTATAGCAGTTGTTAAAGCTTCACGGGACTAACCCATGTCATCGGCCTCGTTGGGGCCAACGTTGAATTTGGAGTAGATGTCGCTAAAAGGTGATCAATTTTAGAACATTGTTTAACTTTAGTGTCTAAGGCTCCGTTTGATTCGCCTTATTTTCCAACTTTTGTAGTGTTTGATACGCAAAATTTTTCGAAATTTTTTTTTCCACCTTTTCTCATTTTCCACCTTTTTGAGGAAAATAAATTCTTGATATTTTGGTGGGAAAAAATTTTTCAATTTTTTTTTTTTTTGTTTTTTGCAATTGGAAAAAAGTTTATATACAATGGTAAAAAAATTTATCACTTTTATTGACAATTTACATGCAAAACAAAACCAAACGAATGATATTCGGTATGATTTTTTGGCAATTGGAATAAATTCTAGACTCAATGGTAGAATAATTATTATTTTAATGGACATTTTTCATAAAAAAAATGAACCCAACGGACATCAAACTTTCAATATTTTCTATGAAAAATTATACCAATCAAACACAATTAACTACAATTCCCAATAAAATAATTTCTAAACAAATCAATTCTCTGTAAAACATTTTCTTTTCACACAATTTTCATATTTGCAATCAAACGGACCCTAAATGTGTCACACACAATACTTTAATAGTTAATTTGAAATTTCACATACTATGAAATTTTATTTAATTCTTAAATTGTACATACTACATATTTATTTAATTAAACACTATATCTCACAATATTTTTTATAAATAATATTTAGCCGAACTTTTTGTTATTATAATCTCATGGGTTAAATGTGTGGTAAAAATAAATAAAAGTAGTTGATCCAATAAAATGCGTAATTAAAAATAAAGTTCGAACAAATTATAATCTCAAAAAAGTTTTGTCAAATAGGGGCGTATTTTATATCCTAAAAAATCTATTGAAACTAATATTTTAATTAAATTATAATGGCATAATTATTTCAATATAAACTAACTTTATGTCTCAATGATTTAAAGAAAAACACATTGCTAAAAACATTTCTTTTTGAAAGGACCAAAACCACCTCGGTCTGATTTATTCTCATACCAACAAACAAGGGTCTGAGCATCTTACACTTTATTGTACAAACCCAAAATGAAAAAAATTAACAGCAGCTGCAAGACACAAACTTGAATAAATATTATCTCGACAAACGATGCTTCAAATATGCCTAATGAAATAAACAACTCTGACAAGCAAAGAAAAGAACATCAAAATAGGACAAAAAAACAACAGGACCAATAATACTTATGGTTAAATGACCAATCTTAGATTGCGAAGGCTCGACATGATGATAATCCGATATGCTTCAATCCTTCAGGCAGCAACCTGACCAAATAGCGATTTGCGTATCTGCAATTATGTGGTTGAAGATTGGTCAGTATCGTGAAGACCAAGGTGTGACGAAATTGAGTGCTTAAGCACGGAAAGAGGATGAGATAGGAAGCAATATGTGGACGATCATTAGACTACTATAGCATATTGCAGATTATTTTAGCCCAGAGAGAACAGAATCGCGCATCTTTAGTAAGGTTGAATTGGCAGTTCAAGTCTTCGATTCCATTTCTCCACCTTTACTTTCGTACATTGTGGTGAGTAAATCCCGTCCTCAATATGGGAAACCTCCTATCCCTATCAGACATCTTGATAAAGCATAAATCTTTACATTGAGCAATGACTTTTCAAAGTTGCACCCTATCTTTTCTAATGCAAGTCAGCAACTTTACAATGTTTCGAGACAGAATGGGAAAAGACTCTAAAGAAGTAATTATCCCAGTAAAATTACCCTTCTATTGACAGCTCTGATATTCTTCTTTCTCTTCTTTTAAAAAAACCTTCTATTCTTTTCTGTTCTTTTATATTGGCCAAACAAAAATGAGTTAATCAAGTATAACTATTCCCAAAAGAAGTGCAGAAAAGGTAAATACAAGGCAATTGCAGACATAGAAAAGTAATCACATATTCATGCATACAGAGTCATGAGAAACAGGTTCCAGATTCAAGACATTTGAATAACTAGAAGGAAATAAAAGTTCAGGCAAAAATAACAGGATGAAAATAAATGATGAAAGTATAACTTTGAGAAAGAGTACCTCAGGCAGTTTTTTACGGAACACAACATCCAATCTAGCGTCAAGAGTGTTCTCGCACACGATTTTCCCATCCCTAGAGGCCAACACTACACCACCAGAACTGAAAATAGAAGGAATGGAGTTATATCGGAAATCTTGCATTGGCAACCATCTCGATAACCAATCAGTTATTTCAAGAGCATAAATATTCAAAGTTTGTTGAGTTTACTCAGCAGTACCATATAGCCTAATTTTTCAAATATTTTCTTTCTTGGCTAAAAGTAAAAACCTAGTAGTAGATCTGTACCAGAAAGGTCCGTGTGCATTGTGATGGGAAGGAGCAGGTGGCAGGTGCACATTATCAACTATGATCTCAGGTGGATAAACGTTTGCCTTCTCAGCATACTCCTCCTTTGCTGAATGCAAGACAGAATTCACCAAGTGCACGTCCTCTTTACGGCAGCGCAATAAGACAGATGGCTCTTTCAGCCTGAGCAAACTCTGAAGTACGAAACTTTATTTTTAATTAGTAGCAGTTATGTTGTTAGATGAAAATGAATTAGCATCCGTGATCATGCCTGAAGGTGTCAATCTCTATAAATTACAAGTTTCAACACAACATACAAAACATATTTACCAAGTCACGCTTCATATGCTTAAACCATAACCAAAGGAAAAAAATTTATTTCAACAAAGCAGAGTGATAATAGGCACAAAAGTAGATAACAGGGTTAAAGGTTTTGGGGTCTAGAATTTTACATGAAATAACACACAGAATCCATAACAACTTAGCTAGAGAGAAATTATGATCCCTGAAAATTCTTTTGCAATATTTTCCTGTTCAATTCTTATCTACGGGTTTCAAGTATCAGCATTTGAAACCTGTGCTATTAAAATAATATACACCACAAAACTAAATCATAACAGATTTTCAACAACCTGAAAAATAAGATCTTTCAGGAGATGTTTATAGCTTCCATGATGATGGCTCACGTGCAAGAGCTCTTTCGATGCAGCCTCCTTCATGGAGCTGACCAAATCATCCTGAGCTTGAAGAACTTTGATTCGAGATGCATTAAGCTGCATGGAGTACTCGCTACAACGACCCAATAACACAAATTTACATCACATGATACATAATAAAAGTCAAAATATTTACAGTGTTACACTTTAAACCCTGTGTTCTTAATTCAGATTTTATGATAAAACAATTAATAAGTCTGCCAAGTTGTAATTTTTTAAGAAAAAATATAGTTCTAAGTAAAATAAAAAACTTTTAATTAATTTCGTACTAGCCCAATTAACAACGAAACATCATCATCTTACATGCAATTTAGATCTCCCAATAATAAATTGGAAAATGGGGTATTCTTGTACAATAATCAGATTAATTAAATCAGAAAATAAGTATCAACAACATCTCCGCGACAAATATAATCATATATCTACTTCCAAGTCCCACGCATTATAAATCTGCTCGAATTAAAGACATTTTTTTTTTCAAATTTCATCTCTATTGAGCTGAATTGTTACTGAAAGAGATTGAAATTTACATTTTCTTTCGGACTTGGACTTGTTTATCTTTGCGCTCAAACTCCTGTCTGATTTTCTTCTTCTCCGTTTCCACAAGCTGCAACTTCTCAATGTTGAACTCCTGCTCTCAAAATTCAATAAAATAAAATAACAATGTATAAGCACGAGAAGCAGATTAACTAAATCCAATCGAATCGAAACATTTGAGTAAATTTACTTCTTCGGCGGAGACGGATATCTCGTTTGCCTTCTCTTCAGCTTCTTGCCGTATGAAACGGACCATCTGCTGGATCTGCTTCGATACATCGCCGTCGTTCATTTTCGAAGTCTGTTACGGGTCGGGTCCGGCAGATCGAAACGGATTTTCAGCTCTGTAAATTGATTGGGCGTTCGATCTATAAACTGGCTAGTGAATGAGAAGGCGACAGATATACACAAATAATAATTGCAATTTTAACGACTCCGAAATTACATACTATGCCCCAATGTTTCGTAAAATTACAAAAGACTTGTATTTTTTCTTGTAACTATCATTAGGTCCCCATGTTTCATTCTTGTATAAATTTTTAGCTTATTTTATTTTAGAGTAATACTATTTATAGTGAGCGATTATCGTAATCATTCTTATATTTAACCACTTAATTTTTTAATCAATAATGCTGACTATAAATAGCATTGCTCCTTATTTTATTTGGTTAATTATTTCTCAATTATACTTTCTAGACAACTTTGAAGTTAAATTTGAACTGGTTTTAAATGTTTTTCCTATAAATAACCTTTCATTTATTGCCTATGTTTGGCCCCATTTTTTTGAACTCATTTTCAACCACATATTCTTCGATTATAAAAAAATACACGTAAATCGAAAATATTTTTAAAATTTTTAACCACACATTTTTAAAAAAATCATTATTCAAAAATGTATTTTTCTTTAAAGATTGGGCACAAACAAGCCCATTATATATTACATTAATCAAATTCTTTGCGATGACAATTTTGTTGTTGTCACATGGTTATTTGATATGGAATTGGGAACAAAAATGGATGATTCAAGAGTTTCTTCATTTTACAGGGGATATGATTGAAATAAAGAAGATGAATAGACTCGATTTTTTACATTCCATACAATAAATATTATTATTTATTGTGATAAAATTGGTACCTCGCTCCTACTTCATAGCTAAATTTGGCAAATGTTCTTTCGTTCTTCCCCCACTTTTAAAAGGTTAAATTTAGAATTTCCCTTCGAACCAAACTCAAATTTTTGTCCAATCTAAGTGTATGTATCTACTAAATCTTCTACTTAAGAAATATCTTCGCATTTTAAAATTGAGCAATAGTTCGAGAAAATTCATCACACGCACAATTTTTGTATGAACTTGGCACAAGGTATGTCGAAAAGATTATATTATTAGAAGGAAAAAAAAAAATTGATTATATGAGTTGGACGAAAAAGGAAGATGTGTTTGGTTCATGTTTGTTTATAGGCACTTAAGTAACTTTTTTATTTATATATTTCGAGTGATCCACAATTATTATTTACTTATTCATAATTTATTTTTATCTATTCAAATTTAATAATTAATTTTAATCACATATTTCATGGAATCCACGACTTTTCATCACATATTTAATCAAACTTTTATCAAAATCAATTAAAAATCCTCACCAAATGGGGACTTAAACTGTTTACAAATTCCCAAACATGCTTGCTGGAGCATCGCAAGCGCAAAATTTGAGGGGGTTTATTGTAATTAAAGGGAAAATATTGCAATTGCCAACCAATTAAAAGAACGTGCGAACCTACTGTCTCTTTGAGAGCACACGGGGAAATTTTGGTCATTTACATGCAAACGGCAGAATCAAAAACAAAAGGGTAATTATATTCATGGAACATTTTTTTTGTACTGCACAACATTTTAATCAAAGGTTTTCAATAGTTGCTCAGTTTTACTTTTATGCCCTTTATTTTTATTTTTTTTTCTCATCACACTATTATTCTTAATATTTTGTATTTTATGAAAAAAAAATGTGTGGTCGAAAATGAATTTTTAAAAAAAATGGTGGTCAAACATATACTTAATTAGTTAACATATTTTATTTTTATCAAGATTTTTATCTAAATATTCTGTTAATATGCGTTGAAAAGAGAGATAAATATATTTTTTTAACTTTTATATTAGTTATATACCTATGTTTGACAACCTTTCTTCGGAATTTTTCGACCTTTCCAAAAGTGTTAATGACCCATCTCTTACCCAAAAAAAGGAAGTAAGGTCTACTCATTTTCAACGATACATTTATCAATAAAATAATATTACACGCAAATTCAAAAATTTTCCTTATTTTTTAATCACATATTTTCCATCACGTCGTTTGAAAAAATGCATTCTCTTCCTCACAATATGCTTCAAACACACCCTAAACATTGTTTTACTGTCAAAGAAAGACTGTCAAATGGGTTGAAATGTGTCTTTTTTGTCCTCGTAACAACTGTTTTGGACGAAAATCATCTCTATAAATAACATGTGAAAATTAATAGATGATTGATGATAAAAAAAATGGGAATATAAGTGTAAAAATAATTTTTTTATACATATCCATTGAAATTAAAATGTGGTGTAGGTAAAAAAATTTGGAGTTAAATCCATCAATGGTCACTCAATTTGATTTTGTTTCATTATGATCACTCAATTTTATACTTTGTCTCACTATGGCCACTAAACTTTAGATTCAATGTCACCATGACTATTCAACTTTATACTTCTTGTCATTATGACCATTCAATTTTATATAATGTTTCATCATGATCACCCAATTTTTTTAGCATTTTTTACTAATTTTAAAAGGGATAAAATAGTAAATTTTCAATATATATATTTATAATTCTTAAAAAATAAAAATACAAGTTATTATTATATATAAATATATAGTGCGAAATTACTGCTTTTACCCCTTTTAAAATTAATGAAAATAGTAAAAAAAAGTTGGATAATCATGGTAAAATAAAATAAAATAAAATGATCATGATAACATTAAAGTTGGGTGCCCTTTAACCAAAATAAAAAAAAATATGGTGTATTTACCCAAAACAAACAGATGTGCTTTTGCTTTCCGCTTAATGAATTACGAATCTTTAGTTGCACTGGCGTTTACACTATAAAAAATGAATAGCCAAAAAACCCTATCATAAATTCAAAATTAAGAAAGAAATTCACATTTGATCCAATCGAATTTGGTAACCGATCCTCAGTAACGACGTCGTAGATGCGAAATGAATAGCCGGGGATCTAGTCACCGGCTATCATCATCGGCGTCGAGTTTTCGGAATCGAATTTCTTTTTTGATGTTATCCATGCTCGCCACCATGTCTGTATTTTACGTCGCCGGCCGGTGTGTTTATATTTGTGTTTTTTTTTTATTTTGTATTTTTTTCCTGGTAAAAATGGTTTTGACGATTTTTTTTTTTAAGATTGTGGCAGGAAGCGGAGAACCGAGTTTATTTGATCGACGAGCTTGATAAGAGAACTGGCCAGGTATTTATTATATTCGTTTAGGAATTTTACGTAACACTTACTTCTTAAGTCGAATGCGATTTTGTGGGATGCAAAAAGGAAGATGAAGAATTGCTGGAGTTAACCTTTAGCTAAAGAATCGACCTTTTTCAAATGAATCAGTATTGTTGTGACTGTTTGTACTTGATGCTGTTGCCTTCTCTGATGACATGAAATTTGGGCATTATATATGGAAGTGTCGTGTAATTGATCTAAATTTTGTATGATTGTTGTTTAATTATCATTTGAAGGTTCTTGTGTAAAACCAACTCAGATTTACGGAATCATTTGAATTCTACTCATAGTAAATGAGGTGATTGACTTGAATGCCGAGTCAGATTTGTCTGGTAATAGATTTTGCTTTGTGTCGTCTGTATTTTCATTCCATAATAGCTTGCTGAAAGTCTAATCATTGTGCTGATTTTATTAATTTGGTCATTCTACTTTTGGGTATTACTAATTTGGTCTTCACAATTAGAATTTGTAAGCGTCAATTGGTGTTAAACATGTAGCTGTACTTCTAAAACGAAAGGGGATTTGATTATGGCGTATGTTACTAAATTTCTACTATACATAGTTATAATAGAGTTTTGCTATACAAACATAATACTTGACATAAGGGATGACACAACACACACACATAAGAATGTCGACATTATTTAATTCAGATCGAGACCCACATGCAATGTGAGAGGTCGGTCAACCCTTATGTCAAACATTATGTTCATTTAGCTTAATTCGTTATAATATTGCCACCACTTAACTGTACCAATACATGTGGGTCGTTGCCCATTGATATCCTTGCTTTCCAATATTGTAGTAAACTCTGCTGGGGTCATTAATTTACAGGAAATTTATGAGCTGTGAAACTGATGTGTTATATTTGCCTCTCTATCCCAGGGGAAGTCTGCTATTTCAGTTGATGACACATTAAAAATTATATCTTGCAGGTGAATTCATTCTTTTATCTTCGTACCTTTCTTGTTTCTATTTTTGGATTCTTTGCCCTTCAATACAATTATAATGAACATTGTTTTTTTGTCAGGGAACAGCAAAAGAAATTAGCTTCTTTTCACGTGGAACTGGAAAAAGCTAGGCAGGAAGGCTTTGTACCTAAGCATCTCTCAGAAAATAGTGGAACTCAGTCTAAGAAAAAGCTTTTGGCTGTCATAGGAATAGTTACAAGGTTTGGGCGCAAGAATAACAGAGATGCAATTCGTAAGGCCTGGATGTCTACTGGTACAATACTCTCCTATTTTGTGTTTTGAACCTTTTCTATGGCATGATTAACGTAGTTACAGATCAATGCCACTTCATGTTACGGAAAAAAATATATTTCTCCTGGTTGAACTACACTATCTTGATTGGTTGCAATCAATCATGAACCCATGATTAATAATTTACGGCAGTTAACTAAGACAGTAGGGCAGAAAGTGCTCCTAAGAGTACTGAGCATGTTGCTGATGAGGTCTCTACTACAAGCAAGAAATTCCAGCACTGGAGTATATTGCTTCTCACTCTCTTGGAACTTTTTCAAACAATCACGCTTCTCGGATTTTTTTTCTTTCGAAAGGCTGCTTCTTGAGAATTGCTAATCCATAATTTGTCTAATGCAGGTGCTGCTCTTCAAAAACTGGAGGAAGAAAAAGGCATTGTCATTCGATTTGTAATAGGAAGAAGGTTTTGTTTTGATGATTAAAAAGTGAATAAAAGAATAACTAAGAGAGCTGAGTTTGATTGATTTTAATCATCATGCAGCACAAATCAAGGAGACAGTTTGGACAGGGAGATTGACAGAGAAAATGGGCAGACTAAGGACTTCATAATTCTTGTATGTTTCACTCTTGCGTGTCGAATTTAACGGGGTTATAAAATCCATTATATCACATGAACAACAAACTGCTTTAGTTTATTGACTAGCTACTTCGGAATTCTCCTTTGTCCCAAAAAAATAATGCTGCTTTGACTTGTCAGTAATGGAGCTTCACCATTCGCCTGTCCAACCTTTTATGCACTACTCACAGGGAGTGGTCCACCACTCCTGGATATGCAATGCCAGAATGGCTAAAGGTGAAGCTCCGTCACTCACAGTTTAGCATTTCTTGTGCTGGAAAAAATATCTTTCATAAAGTTTGGAAGAAAACAGTTTCAGGGACTTTGCCTTTGTACAAATCAGGTCTCTATTTTCAGCCTAGATTCATTCTTATTTAGACGTTTTGGCAGTGTCATCTTACATAGCATATGGATTTTTCTAGTGGTGTCTTGAAGGTTTGAAATTGGGACCTCCACTATACTAATCATGTTCTGCTCTCTCCTCTATCCCCTCTGCCTCACCCAATTTTTTATGCTTTGCATGAAATCATTGAGTCGCATGCATTTAAAATATATGCAGTATAAGTATGCAATGCAAATGCCTTATTGACCCATACTTACATTCAGTTCAAAATTGATTTAATTTGAACTTATGCAATATGCAGCGATCAAATGTCTGAATTCTTTTTTCTTCTGGTCAGAATGATCATGTGGAGACTCCTGAGGAGCAAGCAAAGAAGACAAAGTTATTCTTCATTCATGCTGTAGATCACTGGGATGCTGAATTCTATGCTAAGGTCAATGATGATATTTATCTTAATATTGGTATGTCTTCCTTATTAGGTTTGGATGGTAAAGAGTTCGCTTTGTTGTTTGATTTTATATGCTTTCTGTGTAGCATTTGGCTTAGAAAATAGGGAATCATTTCAAATGACTGGCTTTATGCATATGAAGAGTTTGACATCATGGATTCATAGTCGAGAATCGAGACTTTCACACTAGAGCTAGAGTAAATAACTGCGCACTTCTTACAGATTGCTCATCTCACGTGTGGCTTATTACCTGGGGACGATATTTCTAAACCTTTTCCCGACCTTCTATAACTAACCCCAGCGGACCATTTGTAGTTCCAAGCTGTAATTTTGAATGTTCATTATTTTTGAAATTTTTAAATAATTGATTAATTTATGGCTTCTTTATTCATGTAAGGAAGGATAACCCATGAGGCCCGTCTCAAAACAAGGCGAGCAAAAAATGCCTCAAAAGGTTTTGAGGCAGTTTTTGGAGGCATATGCCTCAGTTGTGTGAAGCACATGCCGCACCGCACCGCCTTAAGGCTTGTGAGGCATCTGCTCTTAATTGTCCAGATTTATTTACTTCGCCTTGGACGCATACGCCTCATAGCATTGCCTCAAAGCTTGTGAGGCACGTGCTCCTTAATTGTCCTATTTATTTACTCTGCCTTAGGTGTGGACCCACAAAACAAATTTTTTTTTATTGCCCATTACCTACTAAAATATTAAAAAATTGTGTTTCTCAGACAGGGTTGCCTCCTAAAATATTAAAAAAATTTGTTTCTCATAGACAGGGATGGGGCCACCTGAGGCTTAGTTAGGACAACTCAATAGTCCATTGCCTAGTAAAACATTAAAAAATTGTGTTTCTCATAGACAAGGACGGAGCCACTGAGGCCAAGTGAGGGCAGTTGCCCTCACTAGATTTAGGACAAAAAATTTGGTTCCTGTGTAAACCAGCCAAAACAACAAAAAAAGAAATTA